TCACCCTTCTCTGAGGGTGTGTTGTCTACTTGAGGACTATTGTCCTCTGAGGAGGAATGTACCTCCTCCTCTTGTGTGGAGGATGTGTCCTCCACTTCAGAGCGTACTGGATCCTCTTGTTTAGAGGATATTTCCTTCTCTGTTTTGGACTCTACTTCCTTCTCAGAATCTTTACCTTTAGGACTGTCTTTTTCTGGAGAAGATGTGAGCACTTCACTGCCTTCTTCCTTCTTGTGAGAACTGACAGTGTTTTGTGCATCACTTGACTTTTTGTCATTTATCTCCTCCAATTTAACACTCTTCTGTGGAACAGATTTCTGTCCACTGTTTTTCTTTGGATTCTCTCCTGAAGTAGGTTTCTGTTTATCATCCTTTTTAGGACTCTTAGCTATAGCAGATTTCTGCATACTGTCCATTTTTGGACCTTCACTTGCAGCAGATTTCTGCTTGCTACCATCGCTGTCACTAAGTGGCTTCTTTGCAGCTTTTCCTTCCTTTTCTTTCCTCATTTTCTGCCCTGAGGAATCGCTGTCCTGGTGAGGCATGACAGCACCTTTAGCAGAAGCCTTCGTTGGCTTGGAGCTCGGAGCGTGTTGGGATTTAGACGAGGCTGTAGCAGATTTATTCACAGTTGCTGTGTTCTTTTGGGCTTTGTTTACAGCAGAATCTGAGACTGGGGAATGAGGAGAGTGGGGTGTGAACTCGGGCGCCTCAGGGTTAAGGTGGCAGTTTATCTTGACTGCATCTGATTTAGCATGATTTTCAAGTTCTTCCTCCTCATCTTCAGGGCAGTCCTCCCATTCGTCTGTGTCACCTTGACTTTGACTTTGACGTGGCGTACTATCAAACTGGCCCTCCTCATAATCATACAGGAACTGGTCTTCCTGAATATTGTCATGGAGATTTAGTCCATCATGGTCTTCCTCCAGACTAACATGCTCACCAAACAGTTCCTTATGCTCGAATATATCATCGCCGTCCTCGCCAAGAAGACTTCCTGTTAGCAGATCATCTGCCTCCTCGTCCCACCAAAGTTCCTCAGTGGATGTCTGGGCTGTGCGAGAGTTAGGCACCCTGCCAGAGGACGTGGTAATAACTGTACTATTTGGTGTCTCTCCATCTGAGTACTCTATCTCTACACTTCCATCACTCACCTTGGAGTTGTCCAATTTGATAATAAGGAGGTCATGTTGTGTCTCTACTGTTCTGTCCTCACCTGACGTTGTCCTCACCCTCTGTGGCTTCACTTCCCCACTCCCTGGGCGTCCCCTTCCTCGCCCTCTGCCTCGCCCTCGCCCCATAGGACGCGGTGGACCCTCTCTATCATTTTCCTCTCGTTTGCGAGGATGTGGTTCACCCTCTCTGGGTTTGTTTCCTTCCCCCTCTCTTTGTCGATTTGGTACCTTTTCTGACTGACCAGTACCTGCAGTACATAAAATAGGAGTTAAAAACATAATTGTTTTCATCATAATAAAATCTATTTAAAATACATGTATGCATAAGAAATTTAGGTCTCTTTCTTTAAAATTATCTAATATTGAGGGACTACTAGATTTAACGTAAGCAACAGCTAGCATTGATTAAATATTTCATGAGAACTCCAGTAAAAACATTTTGACAGTGGTACTAAACTACTCCATAGTTGTAAAGCCTCAATTTTGCCGAGCTATTTCACAGCATACTGGTCTACAATATTTTTTTACGTTTAACCTCTTATTGATAGAAATGAAAATGGTGTAACACTACAGTCTATTGATGATACATATGTGTATAAAGTTCTATAAATATATATTATGATATTATCTGTCCTTGAAAACATATAATAACCGGTGAGTTTCCTGGTCAGGGACCAAAATCATGCTGTATGATAATAATACACACACACAC